CGAGACCGCCTAAAATAGCCCAACCTCTTTTTCCTGGCGGGCTCGTGGCAAAAGCAAACAAAAAAGAAGAGGAGGCAGCTCCGTAAGTTCCACTTTTGCAGCAGGATTGACCGGGCGCAGGACTGCGCAGCTCGCTCGCGATAGACAAAGTGCGCCTGCATCACCGCAGCTCCTTTCATGGTCCATGTGCTCACAAACTCAGCCTTCTTTTCAAAACGAATCAGTTACAGGATGCTCACAGCCAATTGGTCAAGAGCACGCACGTGCTAATGTAAAATAATACTGATGTTGCTCATTCCAAAATTGTCAAATTTAACTCATCACGCATTCCCTTCGCAGGCCCAAGGAAGCTTAAGCTCCTGTTTTTTGTTTGCAGTTTGACCCGCCGAATCAGTGTCAACCCAACAAGGGCTCATCGAAGCCCTGTCACGTGACGAGGATTCGTCGAATCAGTGTCAACTTGGATCCTTGCCATCTTGGCGTGGATTCGACGAATCCGTGCTGAAACCGGCGCTTATTCGAAGGTTTCAGCGCTTGCTCGAGTGGATCAGCGCTGATCCGACACAAAAACCCTACTTTTCCTTGTCAAACCAGCGCTGATTCGCGAATCAGTGCTGAAACCAGCGCTTAAAGAAGGACTGGGTGGATTCGCTCATGCTGGAAAAGAAGGCGTTGACGAGACTATCGCCGGAGGAGGCCAAGAGGCTGGTGAACTCGGACAAGAAGGTGCAAGTGCTGCCGGGAAAGGCGGTGTACACCTTGAAGCCGGGTCTGGAGGCCCGGAAGAAGTGCCGGCTGGTGGTGTGCGGAAACTATGGAGACAGCCATGATCAGCAGCAATTGTATGCCGGAGGCAGCGACAGCGTTGCGATGAGACTGGCGGTGAAGACGGCGGCGGTCAGATCATGGGGGGCTACGACATTGGATGTGAAGTGTGCTTTCCTGAATGCCCCGCTGGCAGCGGCTGATGACGAAGGGGAGGTCGTCATTGTGATGAAGCCCCCGCAGCTGCTGGTTCGTTTGGGATTGGTCAAGCCCGGCGAGATGTGGAAAGTGGAGCGAGCATATATGGACTTAGGCAATCGCCGAGGCTGTGGTCGGACTACCGGGACGACACGATGGAGAAGTGGCGATGGAAGTGGGATGATGGATGGCTGAAGTTGCGGCAGCTGGAGTCTGAACCCAACTTGTGGAAGGTCATCTACGAGGAGAATGGCACGGAGGTCATGAAGGGCCTGGTTGTCGTGTACGTGGACGACATGCTGATACTGGCCAGCGATTCCGTGAGGAAAAGCCTGTGTGGCCAGATAAAGTCAGTGTGGGAAGTGTCGGCTCCGGAGGAGGTCGGAAGTGAAGCGGGAGTGAGGTTTTGTGGGATGGAGCTGTGGCTCGAGAAGGACGGCACCTACCTCCTCACTCAGGAGAACTACATCAAGGACCTCGTGGAGCGGAATGGCATCACGGGAAAGTCGGCAATCCCAATGTCCAAGGATATGGCCGAGCCGGAGGTAGAGAGCGAAATCACGGCGGAGGAAGTGCAAGCGGCTCAGAAGGTAGCCGGAGAACTGCTATGGGTGGTCACAAGAACAAGACCGGACCTGGCGTTCGTGACTTCCAGGCTGGCAAGCCACGTGACCCGAGCGCCAAGGTGGGTGCAGAAGGTGGGCCTCCAGGCGTTCAAGTTCCTCAACGGGACATCGGCGGTGGGACTCACATTCACCCCGGACACCGGCGTGGGTTGGGACGGAGCTGATCGGGCAGGTTTGCAGGTCTACACGGACTCGAGCTTCGCGCCAGGAGGAGCTCTGTCGCATGGTTGCGTGATGGTGAAGTGGCAGAACTCGGTGATCGCTTGGAAGTCCAGCAGACAAGGATTTCCGGCGCTGAGTACAGCCGAGTGCGAGCTCATGGAGATGATCGAAGGCGTTGTGATGGGGGACGCGGTAGACGTTCTCATCAACGAGATTGAGGAGGGCGCGAACTACATGCGGTACCTCTTCGGTGACAATCAGGCAGCGATTCAGCTGTGTGCAGAAAGCACGGGAGCTTGGCGCACACGTCATCTGCGCCTACGTGCCTTTCACCTTCGGTGGAGGATCCAAGCGGATGAATGGCGAGTTCGGCATTTGCCTGGAGTCGAGATGATCGCCGACGTGGGCACCAAGGCCTTGACAGGGGCAAAGCTGAAGGAGCTCATGAAGTTGATGGGCATGAAGGCGAAAGGGGAGAGTGAAGAGGACATTGAGAAGTCAGCTCTGGTGAGACTGGAGGTGAACAAGTGTCGAGGGCTGGTGGCGGTGTTGGGCTGCTGCATGCAAGTTCAAGGTGCGGCAGCCATGGAGGAGAATCCTGAGAAGAAGGATGGTAGTGGGGACTACGACCACTTGAAGGTCTTCGGCATGCTGGTGGCGGTGTTCACGGTCGCGGTCATGAAGCTGCTAGAGTTGCTGGCGGCAAAGGTACAAGAGCGATGGGGTGGACCGAGGATCCAGAGCATGCGAGTGGAGAAAGTCGAAGAGACAGAGGAGGTGGCTGCGTCATCGTCAACGGCTAGAGGGTCATCCACAAGGAGGACTACCCCGAGGCCTACCTCTTCGGTGGTGGATGAGCCGAGCCCTACGGCAAGACGGCCTTCTACGCCGAGATTGAATGTGGGATCTGAGCAGGATCCGTTGAGGTCCTCATCTGGTGCCGGGACTGGCTCAGGCGAGTTGGGGGCTACAGCCAAGAGGACGACGGCGGCACCATCTATGGCGAAGGGAATTGGAAAGACGCCTGTGGAGCCGAGGGGAACCGCGGCACGGAATGTGGACTGGATCGCGGTCACCAAGGGCTACAGCAAGGGCTACAGCAAGGGCTACAGCAAGGGCTACCACAAAGGAACGGGCAAACAGGCGACAGATCCTGGCAGGGACCTACGGCCAGGCAGGATCGCGCGGAGCCGGTGCTGACGTCAACCCAGCATCGAGGGCCGCAGGGAGTGGTCACCAAGACATTCCCGAGCCTGAGTCGGAGGACGACGGAATCCCGGTGGAGCCTAGCGTGTTCTACACCATGACGGGCGAGAAGTACCATGCCCGCGAGAATTGCTATGGTTTGAGGAGGGCAACTCGGGTCATGGAGACCCTGCCATGCCCGGTGTGCACGACACCGGAATTGAGGCGGCTGCTCTTCGTTCATCCGGGAGCAGTGCACATCACAGGAGATGGCCTGTGGCATGTGCTGGAGACGTGCGCTGGGCGGGGAGTGACCTATCAGCCCTGCGCGAATTGCAGGAGAGGAGAGGTTCAGCGCGGCTTGAGCTAGCCCCGAAAAGGGGCGACGTTTTGACCTTAGCCCGAAAAGAGGGCAGCATTTTGTAGCAGTGCGAGCCTGGCGGCAAGGCACTGGGAGGAGTCTAGGAATACCTGGAAGCCGTTTGTGTTCAAGAAAAAGGGCGCGTAGCTGAAACCTGGGTTTACAATTACAATTCACCCAGATTATGTTGTGGGGGGGGGGGGGCGCAACACTTTTTTCTTTCACTTGTGGGGATGTTTGTTTGCGCCTCGAGTCGCATGGACAGCAATGAAGTTGGGGTAGAGCTGTTGCAACACCGCTGCGTCAGTAAAAAGGGTCACAACTTTGCATTTTGAGGTTCACTACATGTGACGTTCTTTTGATGAGGTAGGAGGGGTAGGGCCCAACGCACACCTTACAAATAGAATTCAAAGCGGACTGCTCTCGCATTATTTTTCTTAGCGGCTTTTGGCTTTGGGTAGCCTACTTTTGTTCTGAGGGTTGACTCCCCTTTCTCTTATCCCATCATTATGTCTAGAAACCACGCATTTCTTCGGGCTTGGGGATTCTTTGAAGAGTAGAACCCCTAAACACAATGGACAAGGTACTGCTCAATCGCTTCCTGGTTGACGGGGCTCGCTTTGGGTATTGTCCATGGGCTTGTCTGCGAGGTGCTTGAATTCTAAGGGTTGGTTCCCCATTATTTTCAACCATCGTTCTGTTCAAAAAGCGGCCGTTTCCCTGGGTTTCCGGAGGTTTTCTAGAAAGAAGGATCCCTGGAAAGAATGGGGAAGGTAGCACTAGATGAATGTGTAGAATACCCTCGCCCCCAATCCCTCCAACCCCTACAGCGCCCGTGGCCCTCTAACACTGCCTTCAATACTCTTGGTGGCTCCCAGCCATCCGGTTCCTTAGCTTCTTAGCCACTTTTGGTGTTTAGTGGTACTTTCCATTTAGCCCACGAAAAGTGATTTTCACTTTGTCCTTTCTGGTTGGTTTTGCCAAAAACAAGATGCCGATCCCCGGTTGGTCCCTGGTGGTTTCACCCACTAAGAGCTCGTCACTTTTCGGGGCACGGGCAGCCCAGCAGGGCCTTGGAGGCGCGAACGTACCTGACGGAGCTTAGCGGTAGACGGCTTTCAACTCCAAAAACGGGGGCACTCCGGTGGGTTGAGTGGATGAGATGGGAGTTTTTTTTTTTTTTTAATACTTATTATTATAATTACTTATTATTATAATTCTGAGTAATATTGCTAATTATTATTATTCTTTTACTACGAGCTTCCAAGTCCCCGCAGGTAGAGGAAACCAAGGAAGCTGCTCCTCAGATAGGGAGCCACAGGTGAGGCTTCGTGAAAGTGTCTGGTGAAAGACTCAATCAACTTCTCTGAAACGTGTTGGGGGGAATTTACTGAAACAACGACTCGGCATGCAGACATCACACAGTTTTCCCAGGTCTTTTGAGGAACCAAGGGGTGATTTCAGCTACCCCTTAGTTGGTGGTTTGCATAGCATGGATATTTCAACCCTCTGTCTTTTTTTTGGGAAAGCGGGGGAAAAACCAACCAAGGGGTGATTTCAGCTAGCCCTTCGTTGGCGGTTTGGGTTTGTGTTCAACCCTTGAATAACTTCGTTTTTTTTTGGGGGGGGGAAACGGGGGAAAAACGCACCCGGAACACCTCCAAACCACCGATTCGGCTCCTCCAAGCAACTCCGTGCATCAGGGGTGAGCGTCTTCAAAAAGCTCCAGGACTGCTGTGGCTTCCATGGAGTGGGTCGTCTCCAAGAAGGGCCTGTGGTGTTTTTTCTCAAACTCCCAAACTGTTCCAAAGCACTTGGGCCCATAGGTGTCCTTTTTAGGTTAGTGTGGTCAAAAATAGGAGGCACTGCTTTAGACGGGTTTTTATTCCATTTACCAGGGCCATCTATTTTTCCGATTCTACACCTATGGGCCTGTGCTGTTTTCCTTGGAGGGTATGGTGTTTTTTCCTTGGATCCGGGCTACTCTCCCCCAGACTAACGTGGAAGCTCCCAGGACCCCTTTGAAAGAATTGTCTCCGTGTACCGAGGCCTTCTGGGAGCTTGCGTGGAGCCCTGTATAACATGCGTTCAAAGTAAGCAACATGTGTGTGTGTGTGTGTGTATGTCGCCATTGCATGTCTATAGCGGCGGTATATGTGTATTATCCATTTACATATTTTAAGCATTGTTTAATGCAACCAGTCACCACATGAACCATTTTAAAGTATATGCATATGTGTATGCAGACATCGTAGATATATATATATATATACAGAATATATATATTCATGCGTGTCTCTGTGCATACGCCTATGCAGGCACATAAGTGTATATAAATATATATGTACATACATACATACATACATACATACATACATACATACATACATACATACATACATACATACATACATACATACATACATACATACATACATACATACATACATACATACATACATACATACATACATACATACATACATACATACATACATACATACATACATACATACATACATACATACATACATACATACATACATACATACATACATACATACATACATACATACATACATACATACATACATACATACATACATACATACATACATACATACATACATACATACATACATACATACATACATACATACATACATACATACATACATACATACATACATACATACATACATACATACATACATACATACATACATACATACATACATACATACATACATACATACATACATACATACATACATACATACATACATACATACATACATACATACATACATACATACATGCATACATACATACATACATACATACATACATACATACATACATGCCCTGCTTCGGCTGGCATCCGATGGCAAGGAGCACAACGAGATCCACCGGGACGAGCTGCCGAAGGGCCTAGAGCTCTGTGGCTTCGTCGTCCGCACGGCGCCTCGTTCGGCAGGTCGAGAGTCGAGTCGGTCAGGTGACTCGGGGGAGTGGGACGTTGTCTCCGTAGGGGTCACCGTGTTTTATTTTATTTTTTTGTAAGGGTCCACCGTTTTTTGTTGTTTCCTTTCTTTTCTTTTTTTTGGGGGGGGCGGCGGGCTGTTCGGAGCTAATCCGAAAGGTCTGTACCTTGGGTTACGCAAGGATTTGGCCTTCTTCGCGGTAATAAGGAAAATCGGATTGGCCTGGCTAACCACAAGCAGAGGGGTCCAAATCCTACACAAAGACACGCCCATATTCAGAGGGGACCCCCTTCTTGTTGGGCGCTTGAAGGGCAAACAAAAGGAAGTCTTCGTTCTGAGTCTTGACGCCAGCTTGGATAGGGAAAGCAGCGGACTGCTGCCTGGATATAAGGGAGAACAGCGGACAATTAGTTTCACGGGTTCCTTGTTTACTCCCATTGAGGACTGGCTTTGTCCTAAATTACGGAACCTCCAGTTGGAAGCGGTGTTTGAAGAAAAGGGTTGGTCCAAAAACAGCATCTAAGGTCAGGCAACCTGGTTTGGAGCCCGGTGGTTTCGGATTTGAAGCATTTCCTGGAGACGCCAACTACAGGAAGTGCAGGGAACCCCCTGATTTTGGCGGGAGTTTGGCGAGCTTCCTGGTCGAATTTCCTGCAGCAGGTTTCTATGAGATTTGAGGGAAGGGGAAAGAGCCAAGAGATGGGAGGGTTAACCATGAGTTTGACCTGCTTCCGCCAACTTGATCTTGCCCCCCATCTGAAGACTCCCGGCATTACTGCGGAGGGCGGGGGGCCCGGGGGTCCAAGTCGAATTGGGGGAATCCCCCTCCGTCCCCTGGCATTTCAGTGTGTCACATTTTACTGAGTGGACCACTTAAGGAAGACCAATAGGAACTCCATCATGAAGGGGCGTCTCTTTTCCTTTGTCCGACGCCCCCGGAAAAAATCGCCTCAAGGACTGGGTGACGTCCATTTGCGAGTCCATCACCAAGTACTCCACGCTGGAACTGGAGGAGTTTCTGGAGCTGGTGAGGGCCTATGAAGCGAACCAAGACAACGCCTACAAGGCGCGACCCGAGCTTCCGCGCGGTGCTGACCCAAGACCACTGTTTATGCACCGCCTAAGAAAACCTGGAATGATAATTCCCCTGTCAATATCAACAAACAATGGTTTCCCATAGTATCAAAGTGGTGCAGGATTTCGTCCAGCCACAGTAGGGATGGAAATCCATGGGCGTTTGTTTCCGCCCTTTACATTTTGGGGATACTCATGGAAATAGATTGGACCCCTTTTCGTGGAGACGACCAGCAACCATGGCAGCTTGGTTTAAATTGGGAATCCAAAAATACCTGAGGAAGTGTCCCACAGGACAGCTTGCTTGGTTGAATTAAAAGCTGAATTCCCAAAAAATGGATTCCAAGAGGAAGTGGAATCCAAAGCGCCTTTTTGTGGGCTTTCTCAGGTCATGTTTGAGGAGGCGGATCTGGACCAGTCGGGCACCATGGAAGCGGCGGAGCTTGCGGAGCTGCTGAAGAACCTGGGGATCGAGCCCATGTCCCACGTGCTTCTCGGAGTAGAAGACATGGGTATGGGTCAAAATTAAACAGGGCTCCTTAAAAGACTCTCCATTTTGCAACCATTTGAAGCATGTTGCTTTTTCAACACGAACATAAAGTTGGAAACCACCATTTACAAGTTGCAATGTTTAGGTGTATACTGTAAGGATCCCTGTTAAAAGCACCAGAAAACCGCAGGTTTTAGTCCTTGGTTCCATTTACTAGGGTTCCAGAATGGATACCCATTTTTGATCCACCGCCACATGTTTCTAAGCCACACCTCCCCATTCTGAAGAGCTAATCCAATTATCCCCCAAATTGGATGCAAAACAAAGGCGCGTGTGAGGCAAGAATATGGAATCAACCCTGAGAATGTGGTTTAGCGGGGCTCCAGGGGAGGTCAAGAGAAGGGGATTGGTGGGGAATCCCTCTTCCTTAACTGCTGAAACACGGGGGTTTCTCGGACATGATACCCTCCCGACGATTACATGGAAGCTCCCGAACCCCGAAATGGAAGACTTGGCAACCCAATTGGGGGAGCTTCCGGCTGTTAGTCTGAGGGAGTGTAGGAGAGATGTTGTTTTGGGGGGCTCTAGAGGGGCAGTTTCCAAGCAACCGCTGGACAGTGCTGCGGTCAAAAGACAGAAGGCGATTGATGGGGATTGGGGGGGTTGGTTTGACCATCAAATTTTGCTTCTAGTCATCAAAGTCAGAAACAGGGTTGCTTTCCCGAAGCCTATCGAAAGCAATACGAAAGCTGAGCAACCTTCATTGCTATGTTTGCTTTAGCCAGGTGATCAATGACGTCACATCACGGCTTTGAGCACGCTACGGTACTGGGCAATTTTGTCCGGTTGTTCGACGCCGAACCCAAAATCCTTATGCCAGATGCTAGTGGTTTCCCTAGTGGTGTTGTCCCACTGCGGATTGCGGATTAGGATGAGCAATCCTGCCGGATAAGACAACCCAGCTTGACCTGCGCTGTTTTCCTTGGCGAAAACACTGGGTGCTAAGCAGCCTGGCGCTAATCGATCCATCCGAGTCAAATCGCGCAGGCTTATGGAGGTGATTCGAGAAGTGGACGAGCACGGAGAGGGCGCCCTGCAATTCCCGGAGTTCAAACACCTCATGGACCTGGGGTCCAAATAAGAATCGGAATGTGACTCCAAATCGGGACTTGCACCGGGACCCCCAAAGCAATGGAAACCCGGACTATTTGAATCTGAAGTGTAGCCTTTTTGCCGAAAGCTGGTCTCGAAGAGGCTTTGCGCGAGGTTTGTCAGTGGGGGCAGGGTCCGGCACAAAAGCGGGCACTGCTGGATGTATGTTTTCACATTTTTTGAAGAAATGGCAGGGGTGCAATTCCCGCCCTGTCCGGGCTGGACTGGTTACGCGTGATGCCGTCACACCTTGCCCCCTGTTGCACCATTCCCGGACCCGTGCTTTTCCATTTGCTTAGATTTGGAGTTTCGCCATTGCTGGTTCGCTTGCGTCAAGAGGGAGAGATACCTACGAAGAGGATTCAGTTGAAGCGCACTTTCGGCAAGCCTTGCCATGATGATGTTTGTCCGGTTTCCTTTCAAAGCATTCCAACAAAAACAAGCGTTCTCGGGAAACAAAAACTACAACACAACACAAGGAACACACGCACACATGCATGATGGCTTTTGAAGCAACCCCAACAACCGAGTATAACACGGCACGCAGAGATGCCGGTTGCCAGGACCTGCTGACCTTACGGGAAGGTTTTACCTCCAGCGAGTACGAGTTGTACCTCGAGATCTTCGGGCGGTTCGACTCCAAGAACGGGCTCCAGCGCCTCGCAAATTCAGAGCTTCACCGGATGGGGGAAAGGTTCACCAAATTCAGAGCTTCACCAAATTCAGAGCTTCAGAGCTTCAATCCAGCGCCCGCACCTCCACACCACCTAGCGCCACTAGTTGGTGGTTGGAAGGGAGGCGGGCTCGGAGCTGAGTATCCAAAGTGTGGAAGCATCCCCTAAACTTGCGGGGACGCCGCCCCAAGCTTCCAAACCACCAACTAGAGCTGACTTGCCTATAGCTTAGCAGGGTTCTTCAAAAGAGACGCACTTTTATTTTGTAAAGCACCTATTTACCTGGTTGGTCTCCCCCTGGCAAGCTGTTTCGAGATACCCTGCCGCAACTGCTTGAAAACCACGGGTGACATTTTTAGATTAGTTTGCTAGACATTTGTCAGGGCCGCCTATTTTACCAAGAGGACGCCTACGCTTGAAAGGGGATGACACAAGTTTGAACTGCTGCTTCGCCACACTTGGCAGTGACATCGGGCACCCACAAAGAGCTCCAACCGGCTCGGTTTGACAAGCCTGGCCGTGGGCGGGGGGGGGGGGGTTGCGAGTATGTTTATTCGGCCAAGTAGGGCTGTATAGACTGTATTGCCGAAACTTGTATGTGTGTTTGACTGCCTTTCACCTTTGGTGATCTCTGGCATTCCCATAAATAGTCCACTTGTCCGGGGTAACTACCGCTTTCATTGGTGTAACACGAACGAAGCCCCCCCCCCAGCAGCACCTCTCTGTTGAAGACTCAATTAGGCATTTTTTGGAGGTGTGTTTGGGCCAGGCAAGGTGCTAAGAGTGTAAGACCTACTTGCTTGTGGCAGAAGGCTGGGTAAATGGAGTTGGGGACCCCCAACCTCCTTCTGATAGGGGGATGTAAACACCACTTGTTTGGTGTAAGGCCCCTGCTCAATAGGCTATTCTTTTTCACTTGTTGGGGTCCATGAGTCCTGTGTTTCCCGCAAAAGGTTCAAACCTTGTGCACGGGAGAAAACGCACCACTGCGGGCTATCCAGCTGCTGATTTGATTCAGGTCATTTCTGTGATCGAAGCATACAATCTGATTCTTCATTCACTTGTTTTTTGGTGTAAGTTGCCTTGATTTTACTTTTTGGCAGGTACCGAGACATTTCCACGGCCCTCAGCTGGCTCGGCTATCGACTCAAGGACGATGTTCTGAGCAGCATTTTGCGCACCTGTGCAGAAGTAGTGGCTGCCTGTTTGATTTTGTTTTTTTGTGTGTTTTGTGTACTGGTGCAGAATGTGTATTTGATCTTAGTTGACTTGAACTTGAACCGGTCTTATGCCGTTTGTTTGATATTAATTGCTTTGATTGTGTTTGTTTGATTGCGAATTGCATTGATTCCAGTGATTTGTTGATTGGCTAGATTGGTTTGATTGATTAGTCATTGATTAATGTATTGTTTATGTTCTTCTGTGTTTATTAATTCAATTATGTATGAATTTGCTTACTCAATTGTTGAATGATAGATGTATTACAACAATTGTTGATTGATTTGATTTGATTTGATTTGATTGTTTGCTTGATTGATTCATGGATTGGATTTGATTTGTTTTGATTTGAGTTGAATTCATTTGGTTTGATTTGATTGAGTTGATTGATTGATTTGATTGATTGATTGATTGATTGATTGATTGATTGATTGATTGATTGATTGATTGAATGATTGATTGAATGATTGATTGATTGATCGATCGATTGGATTTGGTTTGGTTTGGATTTGATTTGAGTTGATTTGATTGATTGATTTATTGTTTGATTCATTCATTTCATTCGTTCGTTCGTTCGTTCATTGATTGATTGATTGATTGATTGATTGATTGATTGATTGATTGATTGATTGATTGATTGGATTGAGTGATTGATTGGTCGGTTGGTTGGTTGGTTGGTTGATTGACTGGTTGATTGACTGGTTGATGGATTGGTTGGTTGGTGGGTGGTTTGGCTTGGCTTGGCTTGTTGCTTGTCGGTCGGTCAGTTGCTTGTCGGTCGGTTCTTCAAGCCGACTCCAGTGCTGCTACATTTCCAGCAATAGCAACGTGTGCCAATCGAGCAGGTGGTTTCACCATGGTTCCCCTTCCGCCGTGCCATGCTATCAATTTTCTCTTCAAGGGACCGGGCCACTGTCAGGTGCCATGTTAGTGGGGGGAGGGTATCAAGGAGCCAACTCCAGTTAACCCTAATGAGAACTGTGGCTACAACCTGCTTGACGTGGGCAAGGGTTATGGAAGCACCGGCCCAGCGCCCAAGCATTGCCGGACTCAACTCAGTGTTGCACAAAGAGGCTTGGCACAAAATGGGCCTGACTGGGTTCCCATCGTTTCCTCACTAGTATGTCAAGACCATGCGAAGCAGCAAGGGGATTGATTTCCGCCCTGTCCTCGCTGGACTGTTTTGCCACACATTGCCCGTTCGCATGCTTTGCGACCTGTTTAGACTTGCCATTGTGACGTTCCTGGTTTGTCCGGCTGGACTGGTTTGCGACCGCCCGCCGCTGCATCTTGTCTGGACGCGTGCTTTTCCGTCTGCTTAGATTTGCAATTTCGACATTGCTGGTTCATGCGTCAAGATGGGGATACCTACTGTAGATGGACGAAATCCTGCACTACTTTGAAACCACGGGAAACCATTGTTCTTTGGCATTTACAGGGCAATCATTATCCCAGGGTTTCTTAGGTGGTGCCTAAGAGGATTTCGTTCATCCACAGTATGAAGAGGATTTGTTTGTGGCTAACTTCTGGCAAACTGTGCCAGCTTTTGGTCAGCCCTCTCTCAAGTATCCTTGTGAGTTTCCGTCATTTGTCCCTTTTCGCCGGCCAAAAAGTTGGCACTTTTTGCAGGGGGTCTGCACAGTTATTCAGCGGCACCCTCAAAATACCCTGTGGTTTGGTGAATTGTTCTCTGAACATGGGATCGACAAACCAAACACTAAGCTGTTCATAGCGAATCGACCTTTGGACCTTTTCGTTTGTTCTGATTTGATCCATTACTGTGAAGCTTTTTTGAGCCAGAGCCAGGCACCCCTGTTACCATGGTTGCACCTAAGCCCAGAGGGTCCAAGTACCTTATATTTGCGGATTTGAGGAATCTGTAAATGATAAATCCCCTTGAACCAAACCCAAGACCTCAAATATGGGGTACTTGGACCCTCTGGGAAGTGGTAACCTCTTGACTCGTGTTTCGCCACATTTTCCGGGGCCTTCAGTTCTGAACGCCTCAAACCCGCCAAACGGGGAGAACAAAAACATCTCATCTCGCGCAGCGCCTTCCAACTCATGTTGACCCCGGATGAATAACCCCCTGGTTGATTTTGATGGAGGGGTGTCCCCTTTCAGCTGGGATTCAGACTACTTTTGGAGGGAACACCCCCCTAATATTGGGACGGGTTCTACTTAGATCCTGGGTCAACATCAACGCCCTAAACCGGAGAAAAAACAAACAAAAACATCGCATCTCGGGCGCCGCCGACTCCGAGTCTCCTCCTGCCCTGAGGCGAGGCGGCCTTTGACGGGGGACACCTGAACCAGCGGGAGTACTTGCGGGTGTTGCAGCGGGTCCGGGAGTTTGAGCTCCAGATCGTGCGGACCGCCATGGAAGCCAACGGCGCCGAGGATTCGGGCCCCTGGATGTCCCATGGAAATGGCGGACACATGGGCCGTGTTTTTTTTTGGAATTGGGAATCCCCCATGAACATGGTGGCGTTGTTGTGTTTTTTGAAACCAGCCCAAAAAGTTTGGTACCATCAACAATAAACTGCACCCACAAGACCTTTTGACTCTGTCACTTTACGCTCAGTTTCCTCGGGATGTTTTCGGCACGCAGGAGTCGAGCCTAGAACACCTACCCCGAAACCTCTGTGTGTGTGTGTGGGTGTATGTATGTTGCTTTGAGGCTCGGCACCCTTTTTGGGGTTGGTTTATACCTAAGTAGGCGTGCTGCCAGAAGCAACCATACAAGGGAACAGTGCGCAGTGTATACCCCTTGTGCAAGGGCTTGCACTTATACTGATCACGGCTGCCTTCCTATGTGTGGCTCGATACGTGCCCAGGCTTAGCTGATTAACAAAACACATCTTGCGAGCTTTTGAGTTTCCTTGAGTTTCTTTTGTCATCAACTAAGCAGATGTCAGCTCGTGCAGGGGGTCTGTCTCGCCCGCGAAGGAGACTGGTGTGCTGCCAAAGCAGGAGGTGCCAGCAGTTCTGCCGCCCGGCTGCGATCATATGTCGAGGTCATTCGCTAGGGCAGACACAGCCTTGAGATAGGTTTAGGGTTTATCTTCCATTTGCTGAAGTGAATATTTGTTATTTTCCCCTGTCGGGGTCCCCTGTTGGGTGTTAAAGGGGATCTATCACTAGTGGAAGTATGTTCTCATTTTGTCCAGGGGACCTAAGCAATCGGAAGTTATTTCCATCCACAGTTGGAGCATCTGAGTTGTAGTCTAAATATGTTTGTTCAATTCTACCGCTTCCCCAACTCAGTCCGTAACCCACCAATGCTGGGATGTTCAACCAGGATAGAAAGTAGCTCACAACCATTCTTGTAAGTGGCGTAGGTGAGGTTGGTGCCCTTATCGACATGGTTTCGCTACTTGGCAAGATGTAGGATTTTTAAACATGAGGAGGGCTTTCTAGCACAAGGTTTCTTTGTGTTAAAAGGGCCTTGGGGTTGACCAAGGCAAGCATGGTCATGGTGGGTGTTGGTGGTTTGGGTAGCGGGCCAGATGGCTCTCCTTGCGGGTTGGCTCTCTATTTGGGTCTTCCCTAAGAAGAACTCCCCCCAAAAAGAAACTGTGGTTTCCCCTTAGCTTTATTTCAATCACATGGCCAATCAACACAGGCACACCTGCGGGCACAAGCTGACCCCACCAACTTTCTGTAAGCTTCCTTCAAAGAACAGATTCCTCTAAACGGTGCCTTCTGGTTCCATGTGAAGTCGGCGGGGGGTGGTATTTCCGAGTCCCTCAAAGGCTGCATCTGGGCCATTTAAAGCCACCACCTTTACCTTTGCCAGATTTCGTGATCTTGGTAGACCAGAGGCGGATTTGGGACTGCCGCCACCTCCCCACCTCCCACCCCCACCTTCCCCACCTTCACCTTCCCACTTCTCCCCCAGCTCCGCCACTTCCCCTACTGGAACACTGGCTTTCCATTCCCTTGCCGAGGAAGCAGCTGGGTTATGACCTCTGGGACGCCAAAGCCATCACCGAAGCGGCGGAGCAGGCGCCGCACGGTTTTTGAAAGCGGCTGAGACAGCACCACTTGGCCAAGTTTACGACTTCCATTTGCTGAAACGCGTTTTTTTGTTTTTAATTGTCCCCTTTTGGATTTGAAGGAAACCTATGACTTACTGGATTTGTTTGTTCAATGCGGCTTAGGCAAATAGAAGCTTCAGCTTCATCGTGAGTCCCCTTTTGGGGTGGTGGTTTTCGCTTTGGGCTGCGTGTTTTTGTTGTTTGGGTTGGTCTTGTTTGTTCCACGGAAACTGTTCATTTCATGGGTTGACCCCGCCGCCCCCTCGGCGACAGACCTATTTGCGCTCAAGGCAAGTGCTAGGGCAGGGCATTGTTCATGTGGTGGGTTTGGCCGTTTTTTAAGGTCCTAAGGTTGAATCAAAGGGCAAGTTGCCCATGTGGGTGGCTTTGGCCCTCGCAATCAGAGAATCACAGGGTCAAGACCTGACATTTGAAACTTGCAAGCTGTCTTGACCGTTGCGCATCGTTGCGCCAAGGCCGAGTTCATGTCCCCCCCTAGGAAACGGTTTGAGTTCATGTCCCCCCAGGAAACGGCTTGGATATCAGTTTGCAGGATTCAACATGTTCCACCCCCCCTGTTGTTCCTTTCTTCGCCACTCTTTTAGCACTCTCTTGATATGGAGGTTGATCAGGAGGTCCTTTACCAGGGATGACCATTGGGGAAAACCACGAAACAAAAAACACTGACATTTCAACCACGGTATGGGACAAGTTACCCATGGTCACCCAGGGGGCCAGAAATACTTACATTTGCCTAAGAATATTTGCTATTTGCTTCTTGAACAAGCAATCGGAGTCATATTAATCTCCCGCCCCCCCCCCCCCCCGCCCACATGCGCTCTGGGGACTCACTTGCCCAAAGCGAATCGACCTTCTGAGCTTTTGGTTTCTCTGGCTTGGTCCAGAAATAGTCCTGGCCCCAATTGCGGTGCTCGCCTTTTTTGTCTGGGTCCTTGAGCAAGTAAGACCCCAAGGTATACCTCTATTGGGGCACCTTCCAATTCCATTTTGAACCCAGAGATCCTTTCTAGAAAACCTCCAGAAACCCTTTCGGGAAAATGGATCCAGGGTTTATGAAAAGAAGGATGGTTGAAATGGATGGTTTTCTTAGAGAACCTCCAGAAACCCTTTCGGGGCAACGGGGACAGGCTGACATCACGGAGCAATTCCTGGATCTCGGATCCCTCTGGCGCCTCTTGCTGGCCTACCGCCAGCGCGAGGGCATGCGGAACGATGAGCTGGAGTCTGGGGCGTCGCTGTTTGCGTTTTTGTTTTTCTTAGCTGAGGAACAGCTTGGTGTACACTCCCTTAGACTAACAGCCGGAAGACTGCGGAAGGCCTCAAATCAAATGGAGCCAAGTCTTCCAAGAAGGTCCGTTCGGGAGCTTTCATATTGGAGGAGGGTATCCTTTTTGGATTGGTAGCCCTTTTTGGCTTGGTTCAAAAGGAAACCAGAAAGAACAACACCAGAAGAAGGCCAAGGGGACCCCTACTGTCACCTATTCTCAGCATGTTTAACCGGAGCCATCCACATCCAGTCCTGCAGTCGGAAATTATTGTTCTCCTCACAGGGACGCATCAGTGTAACCTCGGTTCTTGATCCCAGCTTGTTCCTTTAAGCAGCCCTTTCATAGAGTCTTGACATCTTCCAACAAATGCAGTTCTGCACCTTGTTTCATCTCTACCCCGTCTTTCCCTTACTCCCGAGTTTTTTGGCCCAGCGGGAGTTGATTCGATCTGCATCCACTTGGCTGCTGTGGGGTTGGATCATTCACCTTCCGCTTGTCGGTCGAGCCAACATCTGTGTTTTCCTAAAAAGAAACGCCTCATTTTTCGGTGCCCCCCCACCTTTCCTCCATGGTTTTTACGTGTTGCCGGAAAAACGAAGAAGAGCAAACCATCGCTAAAACACCTCCCTTGGTTTTGATCCCCGTTGTTTCCCTTGCCCGCCCCCCCAAAAAAAAGCACGGCCGCCTACATCTCACGTCAAATCCTCCCCCCCCCCCTCTCCCGAGCTCGCTCCGAGCGACCGACGGCCGCTCGCGCCGCGCGCGAGGAGCAGATCGACGCGGCCTTCCGCCAGGAGGACGTGGGCCGCGGGCAGTTGGCGTCGCTGCTTCCCCAGAATGAGTTCCCCTTTTTACATTATTTTTCGCTTTTTTGGGGTGGCCTTGGTTTTCCATTCACCAGGCCAAACATATTTTCATTTTTTGCGGGCAAAACATATATATATATATATATTTTTTGCTGGGGTCCCCTTCTTCCAACCAAGGCTGGAGGTGCCCAAGGCCATCCGGGACCTCGGGTACCAGGCGGCTGGATGCGGTTGGGGGCGCTGGCGGGTCGGTTCGCTTCGGCGCGTGGGGGGGTTGACCGGGGGGAAATGAGTTCGAGATTTGTTGGGGCGAGTTTTGGAGTTTTGGAGGTTGGACTGGGGGGGGGGTCGATTTTTGGGAGTCTCAGGCATTCTTGCCAGCAATCGTGCCCCTGGTTACTCTTGTTTCTATTCTAGAGGCCTGGTTTCTGTGGGTACTACCTCAGTTGTTCAAAGCGAATCGACCGGATCTGACCTTTTGCTTTTCCTATTTTGGGTTCCCATATTTAGTCATGGCCCCAAAAGGTGATCACCTTTTAGTTCCAGGTCCTTTGGGCAACTGAGCTACTGTTGATTGTGTCGTTTAGAGGAAGAACCGGTTCCCTCAATTGGTGTTTTGGATTGGTGGTTTGGAATTGGATTGACTAGTTTGTGGTTGGAAGGGAGTCGTTCCGGCGCTGGTATCCAAGCTTGCTTTTAATGAGGGAGTCTTTCGGGTCCTGAATTGGTGTTTCGGAGCACGGTGGTTTGGAATTGGATTTGCAAACGGGAACCCATTCCGAACCTAACGACCAATCCAAACCACCAGTTCGAGGGAAGCTAATACTCCAAGTTTAAAGGTCGACTAAAGTTTTAAAGCCGAGGCGCGATTGGCCTCCCCCCAAAATCAGATGGATTCAAGTCTGCCTTGGCGTCAAGAACGTGGAAATCTGGCGACAGCGAAACGGGCGAAGCTACGGTCCCGAATTGTCTGCTGCGTTTTATCTTGAGAGGTTGTCTTTTCAGAAAATGATGATTATTCCCACTAAATGGCACGAGGGGGGAGAAAGGTTGATCTGCTTTGCAAAGAACAGCTGAGCCATCCGGATGTAATGTTCCACTACGAAAACAAAACAGCGGATTGGCGCCTTTTTTTTGAAGACACCATATTCAAAAGTCATGAGTGTCTCCTTCAGAAATCGCTTCATGTCTCTACTGCTATTGGGTTGGATCTTTAGACTTTAACCTTTTGGATTCCCCTCATATTTCCTTTTAACCAGCAAACAGTTAAACATGTTGCTGGGGGATCTACAGCACCCAAGCTGTTCCAGGGTAGGCTAAGTATGAGTCTGAAAGACCACCATTTGCTTAAGAATATTGTTTGAATTGTTCCCTTGTTGGGTTTAATTCATCACTACTGGACATATTTTCATTTTTCCTAGGGCCTTAACCAAATGGAAGAAGATGATTTTAAGGCACCCCTGAGTTGGGCCAAGACGCGGGGAGAAACAGCGCCTATCGGTAGCAGCCAATGCTGGGAACATGAAGTCCTCGCGTGCCCAGGTTTCTTCCCTGGAATGAGCTCCCCTCTTTAATTTTTTGCCTTTTTGGACTCCCCTTTGTTTTCCCCTTCCCAGCATGTATAATAGTTCTTTGGTGGGGTCCTAATTCCAGCCAAGGCTTTTCACGAGTCGGGTCCGCTATGCCTTTCTCAACTGTTTTCCAACATCCCTTGGGGCCGCTACTCTCTACTCCCAGAAAGGTTCGTTTGATGGTTGAATGATTGGTTGCTTGGTTGGTTAACGCGAGGTGCTGCCTTTCTGACCCCTTCCTCGAAGCAGTTCCTGAAAAAAACCGGCGACTTTCTTTTCAACGAGTTGGATCATTGGGTCAGGATCGACCCTTTCGCTGACCTTTTGGTCCAACTTTTATTTCCAGGCCCCGAGCGGCCGAACTGGCGAACACATGTGCCAATCGATGTGTCGTCGAATGGGAGCAGCCAGCCAGCCAGCCGTTTTCGCCAGGCGTAGCTTTTGCCGTAGCTTTTGCACGGTCTGCTTCTGTTTTCCCTGCAGTTTCCAAGCTTTCCAGCAAGATGATGTAGCGTTTTGCAAATGTTTGCGTGTTTAGTCAAGCCTTCTTCGGTCTCTTTGCATTTGCCGATGTGGGAGGTTCTTGCGGGGGGGTCCTAAGTCAACTGCCACAAAGCATAGAGCATTTTGACCTCAGGTGGCCATGATGAGAGGTCAGTTTCTTTGGTTGTTTTTCAGTTTGCTATTTTACCCTGAGGACCCCTATCGCTTTTGCGCACTGCTTGGGGCCCAATTTGCGGACAGCCCATGTTACCGATTGTGTGTTGCAAGGTTACCTACGGGTGGACTGTTGGTCTACTAGATGAAAGGCAGGCCAAAGCGTAATTTTGCTGAAAGGAACATGTTTTTTTTTGCTATTAAAGGGACTCGATTCACTATTGGACATGTTATGATTTTCTTCCAGGGGACGAAGAATCCAAGGGTTTTCCTACTACACCCTGGGACTACGCCCTTGGGGAATCACCCTGTTCTAGGCCATTTCCAGATAGAACCTGATTGCTTCTGTTTCTTTAGAGTCATTTGGTGTAGTTTCGGTTCCCCTACTAAAATAGGCTACAGAAAAAATCGGGTACTAGCTTATTCTAACCTCTCTGGAGGACCTAGACTGGTTGGTTGGTTGGTTTGTGAATGCTGGTGGTGCCTTTCTGACCCCTTCCTCGAAGCCTTGTGAGAATTCCTGGGAAAGGAAACCCAGATCTCCCGTCGCCCCATAGGGGCGAAGCTCACTTTCAGGTGAGCTTCGAGGCCATGCAGAGCGTGCTGCGCCAGGCGCGCGATCATGCCAAGGGTCCGGGCTGAAGGGGGCCGTAGTTGATGTTAAAACCCCGGATTAAAGATTCGTCGGTGGATTTATAGGGGAGGTATCCCCTTTTAGTCGTGGGTCATCACTTTTGCAGGGAACACTACCCCTAAGAACAATCGTTTGGGGTCATTTGTGCCCCCCCCCTACCACGGTGGTAAACAGCCCCTCGCCTCACTTCTGGATCAAATGCGTTGCATCCAACTGCTACGCTGGCGCTGCAATGTTTGATGCAAAGGGCAGCAAACAGATCTTTCAACGTCTTACCACTGCACAACATGTAGATCAACCACTAAGAGTCATTTGACTTTGGGCTGCCTGAAGGGGCTGCAGTGGCTCCCCGAGGGTGAGTCGAGTCTGAATCAGTGCAATGCGATTGGGGTTGTCTCGCAAATCGGCCCAAATATTTGTAACTTATCCGTTGTTCTATGAGCAGAACTCAGCTACTGTGGATTGACAAAATCCTGCACCACTCTGCTTACATGGTTGAAACCTTTCTGCGTTGGTATTTACATAAGAATCATATCAGAAACCAGCGTTTCTGAACGCTGGTGCCTAAGTGGATTTCGCAACCAGCCAAAGTGGTAATATCTTTATTGTCTCCCTTACGTATGGTGATTTTGGCACCACCTAAGAAACCCTGTAATGATATGATTTCCCAACCATGGTTTCAACCATACAGTACAGTGGATGGACGAAATCCTGCACCACCTAAGAAACCATGGTTGAAGCCGCTGTTTGTCGGCATTTTTCCAGGGAATTGGACCATTCCAGGGCTTCTGAACGGTGGTGCCAAATGGATTGCGCGTCCATGCGGTGCTGTCCTGTGCATCGCCAGGTGGACATCGAGGACTCGGGTCTCATCGGCCCCCTGCAGTTCCGTAAGGCGAGGGATGGGCCGAGCTCAGCCTCCGGGCTCCGGACTCCGTGGGGGGGGGGGGGGCAGCTTTGGGAAGCTGGAGGCCATTTTCACCGCTGGATCAAGTCAAGTCAACAAAAAACACCGAACCCAAAAAGACCAACAAAAAACATTAGCTGTTTGTTTTTTGTTGGTCTTCTTGGGTTCGGGTTGTTTTTTGTTTGTTTGTTCCCGAAAGCATGGCGAAGGGTTCTTCCGCTGGGTTCACTTGAGTTGTTCTCATGAGAGTCATTACAAGGTGTCATTGCAAGGAATCATCATCATGAAAGTGAAAGTCATTGCAAGAGTCATTGCAGTCATTCATTGCAAGGAGTCATTGCATCATGGCAAGGATTGCAAGGAGTCATTGCAAGGAGTCATTGCAAGGAGTCATTGCAAGGAGTCATTTCATCAAAGGATCATTGCATTGCAAGGAGTCATTGCAAGGAGTCGCATCATTGCAAGGAGTCATCGTCATTACTTGCAACTGCACTTGCACTTGGCTCCTTGCACTGCCCCTTGCACTTGGCTCCTTGCACTTGGCTCCTTGCACTTGGCCCCTTGCACTTGCAACTTGCACTTAACTCCGTGCACTTGCGACTTGCACTTGACTCCATGCACTTGGCTCCTTGCAACTTGCAATGGCTCTCATGACTCCTTGCAATGACTCCTTGCAATGACTCCTTGCAATGACTCCTTGCAATGACTCCTTGCAATGACTCCTTGCAATGACTCCTTGCAATGACTCCTTGCAATGACTCCTTGCAATGACTCCTTGCAATGACTCCTTGCAATGGAAACAAGGAGTCAAGTGCAAGTTGCAAGTGCAAGGAGTCAAGTGCAATTGACTTGCGAGGAGTTAAATCTCTTCTTAGGGCGGCGGGGTAGTGCCGACGACACTACACGAAAATCGACCCTCGCGGGGATCGGCGTGGTCGAGGTGCAAAAACCCATGGTTTTTTGCGATTTCTAACCTGCCCGCGCGACCCTCTGCGGGGATCGGCGTGGTCGAGGTGCAAAAACCCATGGTTTTTTGCGATTTCTAACCTGCTCGCGCGACCCTCTGCGGGGATCGGCGTGGTCGAGGTGCAAAAACCCATGGTTTTTTGCGATTTCTGCGGTGCTCGCGCGACCCTCTGCGGGGATCGGCGTGGTCGAGGTGCAAAAACCGATGGTTTTTTGCGATTTCTGCGGTGCTCGCGCGACCCTCTGCGGGAATCGGCGTGGTCGAGGTGCAAAAACCGGTTTTTGCGACTTTTGTTGTTCGAACTGGTCCTCGGGAGTTGTCTCGTGGTTCGCGCGCCTGCTCCCGGAACCGGCGGGTCGCGGGTTCGATTCCTCCCTGGTCCGCGGGCGGGCGTCGCAAGATGCAACTTGCATTTTAAAGCAACTTGCGCAGAGCAACTTGCGCAGAGCAAGTTGCACAGAGCAACTTGCGCAGACCAACTTGCACCGACCAGTTTGCGCAGAGCGCCTTGCCTAGAGCAACTTGCGCAGAGCAACTTACGCAGAGCAACTTGCACAGAGCAACTTGCACAGAGCAGCTTGCACAGAGCAACTTGCAGGGAGCGCAATTTGCACAGAGCAACTTGCAGGGAGCCACTTGCAGGGACCAACTTGCCGGAGCAACTTGCGCGGAGCAACTTGCGCAGAGCAACTTGCACAGTGCAACTTGCGTAGAGCAACTTGCGCACACCAACTTGCACCGACCAGTTTGCGCAGAGCACCTTGCCTGGTGCTGTCTCGCGCTTGCTTCACGAATGCTTCGTGTAGGGAAAAAGAACGCATCCTGCAGCGTTGGGCCGACCTCGCTTGCGATGTTCTGCTTTCGGGCCAACCGTGGTCTAGTTTTGGTTTTGTTTTGGGTGAGCAACCAGAAAGCACATGGACCCCCCTGTTTTATGAGGCCCAGCCCATTCCAACTGCGGGGGTTTAGTGTGCGAACTGGGTGTTGCTGACACTGACATGTTGGATAAATCTGGGGCACGTGGGGAAATTAGATAATTAGAACATGTTTGAGAGCCTGGTGCCAAATGCCACACCATTGTCATTCCCCTAAAGGAAACCAACAAAGTCTGGGTAATTTGTACAGTCTTCCAGGCCCCAATCCAACGCCCCGATGCACATTTGGCTCAAGCGGGGGGTCGTTCTCCCGGTGTCTTTCCTTTTTTGGGTTAAACCAGCCCCTCGGGCCACGGCTCGGGAGCTGTCTACATCGAGTTCATGGCGTTCAATCACCACAGGTGGACGCTCTCCAACATCTTGCCGGTGGTGTTCGTGCTGGGCATCATTGCCGCCATCTGGTCCACCTACGTGGGCTTTCATCTCCGGAGACTGCTCCAGCTCCATGAAGCCGAGCCGGACCAGGACATGGTTGTTGGGAAACATTTCGTTTGGCTTAGTGTGGTTTAGTGGTTGAAATCCAACCACTGAACTGCTAAAAAATGTTTTTGTTGCTCCCCTTTCAACGTCAACTTCAAGAGGATCTGCAACGCAGTGGCGTGGTTCAGACCGTCGTGTCGCAGACGCTGCTCGCCATGATGATGATCTGCTTCGTAAGGGCCGTCTTCACGAACCCGGGCTCTGTGCCGGACACGGAAGCTTGGCTGCGCGAGGAGAACAGGAGGGCCAAATTGGCCAGCAGGAATGCGGGCTCTTTGGCAGGGACCATATGCCACGAGGCAAAGCAGAATGGGGAGCGGCGGTATCTTACCTGCCCAAAGCAGGTACCTTTTGGACCTTTGGTTTCCCCATGTTGGTCAATGTTTTGTCATGGCCCCAAAAAGTGTTCATCCTTTGTTTATTACAAGCTTTGAACAACTGAGGTATTGTTCGAAATGTTCAAAGTACAAGCCGGACAGATGTCACCATTGCCGCGTTTGCAATTCATGCGTCCTGCGGATGGACCACCACTGTCCCTGGATCGCAAATTGCGTTGGCTTCAGGAATCACAAGTACTTCTTCCTTCTCGTCCTATATTCCGCACTGAACTGCTGGTTCATCGTTGTCACCATGGCAAGCACGGTCTACAGAGCTGGAATTGATGAAATGGATCCAGGGTATCGGTTTGGTCTGGTATTCGGCATGACTTTGGCAGTGATCATGGGCACTCTGCTGGGGTGTTTTTTCTTCTTTCACTGTTGGCTTATGTCAAATGCCTCCACAACAATCGAGTTCTGTGAGAAGACAACAGCTGCCTATGGCAGTCGAGCGGTGAGCTATGACCAGGGCCTCTTCGAGAACATCAGAGCAGTTCTTGGACCGTTTGTGTCCCTTTGGCTTCTGCCGGTCGCGCCGCCCCATGGGGATGGTGTCAACTTCTTCGTGCATAACAGCAAGGGCGATCACGATGAGATGGCCCCCCTGCTGCCTGGCAACCAGGACTCCGAGACGGCTGCCCCGGAGGTGACAGGTGCAAAAGCATCAGCAGTGTGATGCTTTGCCGAGCCCACGACATGCAAGTGCCGTCGCTCATAGAACCAGTTTCACTTGCTGCTTGTGAAGATCAGTATTGACGTCGACAAAACAGGTTGTTCGCATTTGGGTGAAAGTAGATTTGGGTTTAGTCATCCCCTTTACTTAGCTACATGAACTACGTTCACCCGAGTGTATGTACGAAGCATATACATATATATATATATATATATATATACGTCTCGATGTTTGTGGAAACTGCCATGTCCGGTGCCACGCATGTATGCATCTTTGTTGGCTGGATCAAGGGATCGCTCGACATGTAGGTAGGCCCTAGGGCGAGGACTTACGGTAGGGCACTGAGCCATAAAAGCTGCGCGGCGATCAAATTGGTAGCGAGAGCTTCGACACGATCAGGGAGATCGCGATCGAGATGGACAAAGGCAAGGACTTCAGCTCCGCCATCAAGAGATTCAGCGGAGATGGCGACGACGGGAGCAGCAAGGCATACCGTCGGTGGCGACGCTGGAGCCGGGCCTACCTCACGGTGCAGAAGGCAAAGGGGACCCCCGCCGAGGCGTTTGGGTCCGTGCTGTACACTTTGCTGGATGGAACTGCGCTCCGGGCCTTTGACCAGGTGGACATGGCAAGGCTGGAAGAACACGGGGGAGAAGAGGTGATCTACGAGATATTGGATCAGAGGTACCCCGAAGAGGAGGCGCACGACCGCATCGGTGAGGTCATGGACACCATCTTCGACCTGAAGGTGGACAGAGGAGAGACGACCGGGAACTTCACTGGCAAGGTGAGAGCTGCGTTTGCGGCGGCGGAGGCAGAGGGGATCTCCTTCCCGTCGGTGGCGCGTGGCTACATGCTGCTGAGGTTCGCCAAGGTCAGTGCGGAGAGACGGGCAGTCATTCTGGCAGCAGCCAGGCAAAGCTATGAAGAACGGGATGTGGCGGCGGCCCTGAGGACGACGTATCCGGAGGGGCTTGGATCAGGAGCCCCGAGAGGGGTGCACGCGGTGGAGATGGAAACGGTGGAGGAGGGTGACGACGGGATGACCCAGGCGGTGCTCGCCGCGGAGGAGTTCGACCCCTTCGATGGCGAGGAAGCGGTGGAAGAGCAGGACGCCATTGAGGTGCTGCTCTCCTGGAAGCAGACCCGGGCCACCATCAACAAGGAGCGCATCTCGCGAGGCCTCCCACCGGGGCCGAAGCCGGATGTGAAGAAGTTGGAGGCGAGAGTGAGATGCTTTCGCTGTAAGCAGATCGGCCACTTCAGCAGGAACTGCCCGAAGAAGCAGGTCGCCGAGCGGGCCGGGAAGGCCACTGGCAGCAACGTGAACTACGTGTTCATGGCATGGCCTCATGGAAAGGACGTGCCGGAGAGGAGATCTATCTGGCGAGACGGCGGAAAGCATCGAGTTCCACCGTGGAAGCGGGACGAGCCCTACACGTCCCACTCGTCAGTTGAAGAGGAAGAGCAGGGCAGCAGCGTCTCCCAGGAGCCGGAGCAACCGGTGGAGGGCGACACTGTGGATGAGATGGAGTTCTACGACGAGGAGCTCCTCC